CAACTATCCTCCAGCTGTCCCCATGGCTACACCTCTTTTGCAGGAAAAAATGGCCTGGGCAGAGCAGTTAGTATCCAAGTGGGTGTGCACCCCTAGAAAGCCCATCCCCAACTTGCATTTTAAATCTCAGCCTTTTAAAATTTCAACTTGCCTGTATAATTGTCAGAAGATATAAAATATCAGTTCAGATTATTATACATTTGCTGGAAGCCATGATTTTAAAAAGGGTGGAGACCATGGGTCAAAGAAGACCACGAACAGAATTTAAACATATAGGAAATTAGGCTCTGCCACTAAACAACTCAGGTTCTTCTATTTGCCTCAGTCTCACAAGCAGTGAGATTTCCTGAGCTCTCTGTTTATAAGACTATTATGAGGAAGAACAAAATATTATCTCAGGCATGGTCTGAGCCACTCAAAGCATACTTATGAATGCTAACTTTGCTTGACCTGTCATACCCAGTCTTAAGGTACAGCTTCAGCACTTCACCAGCAGTGGGGCCAAAGAAGTGTATTGCATCTGAGAGGCAAGGAGTGTATTTGTAGGGTTAGAAAGCTTTTTTTCTTAGCTACCTTAATGAAAAACTTTTTATTAGCTATGTGATTAAATTGTTCAATTTAAAAACTATTTAGGTGAATTATGACAAATAACCTTAGCAACAAGTTAAAACATTCAAACCAGAATCAAAACAAAAAAGCACTAAAATAATTTACCTTTAAAAAGTTTTCTTAAAAGATTAGTGGCATTATCAACATGGCATTTGGTGGCAGAGTGAGTGGGCACAGGTGACAGGGTGGGGCCAGACAACACTATCAAATGCAGATGTAAGCACAAGACAAATTTCTGCCCGCTAAGGTAGAGGTTCGTCATTTAAAATACTACTTGATCATCATCTTGTTTTTAAAGCTCTATTTGTAAATATGGAGTGAATACTTGATAAGAGACTATCAATTTGAAAAGAACAAAATTGAAAGGTTCATCTGAAAATACAACTGCTATCTTTGTAAGTGGCTTCCAAAATAAACTATAAAATCTATGTTTCATAGGGTGTCTCCTAAATACAGTCCAGAAAACAGTAGTCACTTTAAGCTGACTTTTTAGAAATGTTTTAAAAGTAATTGTGACTGCAAATAAAGCACTTTGGATCCTTTTTGTCCCGTATGGAACAGTCAGTCCTGGGACATTAGGTTTATAATCAAACACTTAAGTTTTCCCATTTCTCTTCTTCCAACCCTGCTGCCATTCTCTACACGGACCTTATTTTCAAAAGCAAGCAGGTTTTTATATGGACACCTTTCTGAAAGAAAACTTCACAAGTGTATTGTGCTGTAAACCTACTCATTCTTACATATGTGTACATATACATATGTAAATGCACAAGAAACACAAGCGGGGTAAGAACTAGGAAAACTTTAACTTCTACTCTCTTCATGCATGCTGTTCTAATGACTTTCATAACTGAGACTGCTTTTATAGTATTTCTTCAAAGAAAGGATTCTCAATCACTGCTCTAAAGTGTTCATAATTTACATAAAGACTGAAATCATAAATGTAAACAATTCATATGTACCAAAAACAATTTGTAAAGCCCATACTAAAGTGTCGACTGCCAACCTTCACAGACATTAGGTCACACCCCTGCCACTTGAGGCGCCTTGTTCAACCATGAGATGAGACTGCCCTCAACACCTGTGCCTCCATTCTATCTCAGTGCTTCCTACTCAGTCACCATAACTCAACCACCACCACCACACAGTCTCAAAATGACCCAGCATTGCTGGGGCCACTTCAGGACAGTACAAACTTCTTTAGTAACTCATTTTCTAAGTCTCGAAAGAAAATACAATTTGGACAGCATTCTACACCCTTAAAAGAGCAGGGTTCTAGGATGGAACAGGAGCCAAGATGCAAGGTGCAGCATTTGTCACCCACCTGACTCCAGGGAAACCCCTACTTCCACACTTCTAAAATGGAGGTAGAATAATTACAGCAAATCCTCAACTATTTCTGAAAATTAAAAGTAAACAAGATACTTATGTGTAAAAGCTTATTAACACTATATACATATACTCAATGATAAACTAATCTTTTTTTGTTGTTGTTGTTGTTTTCGAGACAGGGTTTCTCTGTATTGTTTTGGAGGCTGTCCTGGAACTCGCTCTGTAGACCAAACTGGTCTCGAACTCACAGAGATCCGCCTGCCTCTGCCTCCTGAATGCTGGGATTAAAGGCATGCGCCACCAATGCCCAGCGATAAACTAATATTAACAGATAACCCAGCAACACACATTGATGTACACTTTGCATTAACACATGAAAATATTGTCCAACATAAGAATGCCCACAATTAAAACATTACAACCTGTTGGCACATTTCTCATATCTAAATTATAATGTATACATAAACATGTCAAGAGTATTTACTATCAAAAAACAAGCTATACATTATACCTAAACACATCGAAAAACTAGTCAGAGCCATGTACGGTGGTATATACCTATGATCTCCGTACTCATGAAGCTAAGGCAGAAGTTCCAGGCCAGCCTGGGCCTCACAGCCAGACTGCCTCTCTCTCACTAAAACCTGTCTAGTGGGCAGAGCACTGGCTCAGGCCACAGCAACCACATCAAGCAGCTCACAATTAAGTGCCTGTAACTCAGCTCCAAGAGATCCAGTGCCTCCCCAAGCACCAGGCCCACATGCAGGCACATGGCACACACAGACACATGCTAGCACTCACCCGTATAACATGGATAAAAACTAACAAAGATGCTTTAAAACTTGTCTACTGTGCACAGAGTAGATCACTAATTTTTGGTTCATTTACACTTTAACTCACTTAAAATTTTATAGTAATATTAACAAAATGAATATTCTTAAATATAAACTTAATTCACATGTACTACTTTAGTTTATAAAGTACATTTATGAATATTATCTCATCTAGTCCTTTTAACAGCAAGTTCTTTATTTATTTTCCACTGGGAAAATTAAACCCCAACAAGACTGAATTTCACAGGATATTCCTTATATCACACAATTATGTGACATACAGAGACCTGGAACATTTCATGAAAACAAGGGAAAATTGTGTTCAACAATTTAAGTGTGTCTGAAGATTGTACAGTGAAGACAAGTAACCACCCAGTTTTACTGTCCTGATTTCAGTAGTGTTTCAGGAATTACATGAATACATATGGCAGTAAAATTTACAGGAGAATTCACACAAGCATGATTATTTTCTATAGTAGCCCATTAATACCAGACTATTTTTCCCATTGTTAGTCATTTGTATTCAATCTTTTGTAACTGCAGAATTTATTCATTTTAACTTAAAAAACTAGTAGAAAAGAAATAAAAACTATTTATAATATATTCAACCAGATTCCATATATTTTTGACACTTACAAAAGACCTTGGCCTTCTATGGGAAGGTAAGATTAGTATTAGAGTCAATTGATACTTGACTACTACTAAGAAATAGTTTCAGTAAATAGCTCAGCAGTAGTGTCCAAAATGTGCTAAGAAGTCCATGCTAGGGAATGGATACCAGTTAAGCAGGTAAAAAGACAACTATCTGGTTCTTCCACATCCCAACTAAGGCACAGACACTGAAATCATGTTTATATTTTTCAATATTCCTAAGTACACCTGTCCCACCTCAAACATCCCTTTCTCATCTCAGACAGCTAAAAGTAAAAATATCCCAAAAGTTTAAGAGCCTAATCCAGTCAGTACCTTAAAATGGGGGAGGGAGGATATAAATACTTAAAATGTAAATTCTTTTGAACCTACATTTTAAGAACACCCCAGATATAAAATGGCCCTTAAAGCCGGGGGGCGGGGGGGGTGCGTGTTCGGGACAACTCAATGCCTCCATGCCTGCTCTAGATCAATCCCTTATCACTGCATTCAGAGGTACATGCTTCCACACATGACAGGATTTTCCCAAGGTTGCACTCAGAGCATTTTTGCAGAATCTTATTTTTATTAATCAGCTATTTGGATATTTTAACAGTACAAGCAGACTAACAAAGAAATTGTCATCATCTTTTAAACTCTGAAGTCAATGAAACACTGCAATACAATACAATAATACTGAGCAGGTACAAATGAATCCTGTCAATACCATGCTACTGGTTCATCTGCCCTGTTTTGGGCATATGTCATTTAGGTAGAAACTGAGGCACACAGTCATTAATACACATTGTTACCATAAGACAAAATCTCAAGACCTTTAAAGGCCCCCTGGACTCCTAGTCTAATTACAACAGGAAATAAAAAGGTGAAGGAAGCATTTTAAATAAAAATGGTTGCTGATGATTTTAAGCATTTCCTGAGCCTTAATTGTATGCCAAGTACTATGTTAAGTAATCAGTCTTCTGCACCCAATCCCTGAAACAGCCCTAAAACAGCTAATAGAGAACTTTCGAAAGAAAGTTTTGAAATCTTATGAATGAAAGTCTAAACTACTTTACAACCTCCCCTTTTCCTCTCCCTTTCAGGATGCATCTTCTAGCACTCCATCTACATGGAGCAGGGTGGAGCAGAGCAAGCCGGTAAAACCAGCACTCCAGAGCATGGCTTCTCACAAGGTAGAGAAGCCAGTCTGAGCTACAGTGAGATCCTGTCTCAAGAAAAAAAGGGCGAAAAGGCTGGAGCAATAAGACTGTGAATTCAAGACCAGGCAGGACTATACCACAAGACTCGGTTTCAAAACTAAATAAAACGAAATAATTCAAGTACACTGAATCATTTATTTTCAGGAAATTTTCTCCCAGTTAGAAGGTACTGACAACTATTAGAGAACCCTGATTTAAACACTGGTATAAAAAGCCCTCTGCCCAATAGAACAGATGAATAACTGTCCCCAACGGGGGCAAAAGGAACAATATATGTGTTAGGCCTGTCAGAGAGGCTTCTACTGCCCACACTAAAAAACAATGATGCCAGACTGCTGAAGTATCCTATTCCACCACATACACAGGAACTACTTACAGTTTCCAAGTCAAGTTTTGAATATGTAAAAGCACTGTAAAAAAAAACCAGAACATTAAGTTGTTTATAAAGTCTCACGTTAGAATTCCAGAAGTGAAATAACCATAATTTTATTAATCAATGAATTTTCTTTAAAAAATAAAGTTCTTACAGGCTTGGAGACCTATGTATAAAATGGAGTACACAAGAAAGAAGAGTTCTCCGTGCTAGTTAAATCAACTACATGCCCCAGCATGCAATGCTCTAATATGAAGTTAAGTAAAGCTGCAATGCACCCTGGGACTTGTAGTAAGTAAACCAGCTTCTCACAACAAGTTTCAAGAAAAACTGAAATATGGAGTACAATGTGATTAGGTCTTATTTTCAGGGTCTAACCAAAAATAAAATTTGTTTTATGCTCTGGTACTGCTTCTGTGGCACATACTAGAGAACATATCAACTCGCATTGATATTTCCCATTGGAAAAACCTTATACATACAAAATGTTTTAAAAATACTTGGTATGAGAGAAATGTAATTTTATACTTTTAAAAATAAGCTTCATTGGACCAGTTGCAACATTCTTATCATCTCTACCCCTCCTCACAAAAAGTTTTTGTTGTACAATGTCTCCTTTAATAATTATTCAAGATGTATTTTTAAATAATTTTTCTTGAAATTTTTCAAGAAGTTCAAACCAAGCATTTCCTATACTCTAAGAATATATTCTTACTGTAGTATGCACACACATCCCCACAACAAAATATCCAAGCTCTTCTTTTGTCAAATCCTTACTTAATGGTTATGCTTACCACTCATCACCCCTAATTCTATACACACATTTCTGTAAAAAAAAAAAAAAAAAACTTAGGAAAAAAATCCAACTGTAGGCCTAATTCTCTCATTCACAAATTTCCTTCAAAACTACAAAAGGTTTTGTAAGCTACCAATAACATGTCCAAACCAAAGCTGACAAATCTGAACTGTAGTCTATGTATATACAGTTCCTACTGACACCCCTGTTTTCTCCAAGACTCTGGAAGGCAGCTGAGAAAAAACAAAGTGCAGTCTGCATCAGGAGGCCTACCACAGGTGCTGGGTGTTATTTTCAGGCGACAATACTTTCACAAACATGCTGTGGAATACAGTCCAAGAAACTCCTAACAAGGAGAGATAAGCTGGCACATAGATTAACACAATCCAGGTAAAAGTCACCTGCAGCGTGTGCTAACACATTTCACCATAAAAGTGACAGGCTACCAAAGTATCTGAAGCTTCATCAATATAACAGGACTGTCCATAAGGCCAGAGATAACTGTTGTCATGGTTACTATTACCCACTTTTATCATGAAATTATTGTCATTACCCTGAAGTTTAGGATACTTACTTAAATGTTAAAAAAAGAAAAGTTCAGTGTCTGTCAAGGGAGAAAAATCAAGTGCTGTCTGATTTGTAAGCATGCCACTTTAGAAATGCACATGGTTAACAACACTTGGATCTGCAGCAGGAAAAAAAAATCAATTCCTTTCTGCTGCTCCTGTTCCTCAAGCACTGACAGTTTGTATTTTCAATGCAGCCAAAACAATAAAACAAAACCCATCTTTTTGGCCTCTGTGTCTGAGTTATGCTTTTCCCCAAGGCCCACAAACAGAGTCAAAATAAAACTATTAGGCCCCACCCCTTCCTACCTACATATTACTGGTTTGATTTCTCTTCTATACTAAAAAACAGAAAATGTTGCCTTAGTGGATTTCAAAGTATAAGAAAGAAGAGTTTCCTGAGACTTTACATGAACTCTTTTTTTCTTTTTTCTTTTTTTTTTTAATGAGTAAAAGCAAGGGGAATAGAGAAGAGGGGACTTATAGAGTGTCAGGAGGAAAATTGAGGGGGTGGATTCAAATTTTCATAGTCTGTGAATGAATGAAAGTTACTCCAGCAAAGCAGCAAGGATGAGTAACCCCACAATCTCTACATGGGAAGACTCACCACCACCCTATAGCCAGGCATCCCAATGACAGACAAGCAATGGGAAAATTGTCTTCAAAGTCTGTCCCAAGTTGGGCATGGTAATTCATGGTAATTCATGCCTGCAAATCTAGCACTTGGGAAGCTGAAGCATGGGGATTACCACAAATTCTAGGCCAGCCTGGGCTCCTTAGCAAGACCTGGCCTCAAAAAAGGAAAAAAAAAAAAAAACTATTCTTTGTTACAGAAGATGACTATTCAAAGAATTATATAAAAGTCTATAAAAAGTAAAGCTGTATATACGTAGGAGCAAACAAAAGAAAAAACTATGCTCATTAGAAATAATTATCCAGTGGGAAGACTGCTCAGTGGTAAGAACACTAGCTGTTCTTGCAAAGGATCTGGGTTCAGACCCCAGCATCCATGTGGCAGCTCACAACCACCCATAACTCTAGCACCAGGGGATCCAACACCTGTTCCTCTCTCCTTGGGCATCAGGCACACACAGGGTGCACATACATACATGCAGGCACTCATACATACATATAAAATAATAATAAATAAATCTTTTAAAAAGAAATAATTATCTATAGTAAGTTTGATGCAGTATTAACATATTACCATTTAAAAATAAATCCCAAAGCACCAAAAATATACACTTGGTACAGTTCTAAAGACGACTTAGGCCCACATGAAAATTCACAAATGCTCCTGAGAAGTCAACAAAAACCCAGCACAAAACAATATGAAAATTCAAATGCTCCATCTATCTGAACAGACACATAAAGGAATTCTAGCAAAGGTCAGAGACCTAAAACTTTAATCTCTTCCATTCTCTTTTTGGATAGTAACTAAACATAAACACCATCAGCAATAAAACACTAAGAACACAAAAATTTGAAAGCATACTGATGTAACATTAACCTCAGAATTTCTTTACAAAATAAATAAATAACCTCAGTATTCACTGTGGTACAAAGTGACCATCATCACGAGAGGTTTCCTTTTGACCTAAACAATGTAATGCTTTTCTCACCCTTCCCAAAAACAATTTTATATATTTACTTTCTAACTTGGGCTATTTCATAAAGAATGCTCATTTATAAAATTCAGAGTACTACACTCCTGAACACAAGGATTCCCAATTAACTCTATTTAACTTGTTAAGTTTGCCATTCCATATTTATAAGCAGAGTCTATGAAGACTCTTTTCAGTTATTTTTACACAGACAGACAGACAGAAACACACACACACACACCACACATTTACACCTCTAGAACTGAGTAGTCATTTCCTCACATAACTTTCTAAAAGGAGAAAACAAAAATAACGTATATATTTACCTAACACTAATATACATCACTGTACATTTCACTATGAAACAAGTAAGCACTTTTCAGAAAGTTAGCAGTCAATCAAAACTTTAGCAGGGATATCTGTTACTCTGTACATTAATAAAGTCTACAAAGAGTCCAGGAATTTATACATTCGCTAAATCAAATACTACCACAAAAGAGAAAAAGAAAGAAACCTTTTAATAGGGGACATACATATCCCACTGTCTTTAAAAGGGAAAAATTATTTTTTTTAAATTATGGAAAACTGACTTTTTTTAACAAAAGCTTCAAAAGTGTAACAAAGAGATGTTGGGTAACCAGGGCAGTATTTTAAAAACAAAATTCAGCTGAATGGTGGTCACGTATGCCTTTGATCCCAGCAATTGGGAAGCAGAGGCAGGTAGATCTCTGTGAGTTCCAGGACAACCAGGGCTACACAGAGAGAAAGAAACCCTGTCTCCTGGGAGGGGGCAGGGTATTCATAGTGTCCAGAGTGGACTTTAACGAATTAATTTCCAAACTGATATGGAAGAACTTAGCATTTTAAGGCAGAACTTTCCTTATGTTTTAATCTGTAATCTATATCACCAACAATGTCTGCATGGTTTCTGGCAATTTACAAAGAACTTTCACATGTACTATTTAATTTCATCTTACTAAAAGAAAAAAAGAAAGAAAAAGAAACAATGTTATACCTACAAAATTGAAAACAGGTCCATCAAATTTTCTATGTGGTTCTAAGTTTCAAAACTTTGATACAAAACTTGGCAAGCAATCACAGTAGCTTATTTTGACTCACAATCAAATCATCTTACACTAAGAATTTCAAAGGAATATGTACAGTGAATGCCATGAAAATGTTCAAGTAGCTACTTTTATCTTTCTGCAGTCATTGTTAAAAAGTTACTAATGGACACACCAGCAAAGATATAGTCTCACAGGTGTAACTTTCGTTTAAGTTTATTTATTTTTCTTGAAACAAGGTCTTATAATGTAGGTCAGGCTGCCATTGACTTTCAAAGTGTCTGCTTCCCACGCCTACTAGGATTACAGGCCAAGTACTGGAATTACAGAGCACTCCACTTAATTTCACATATAGTTTAAAAATCACAGTCTTTGAAGGCCAACTTAAATGTAACAACTGTGTCTATAAAAACAAATGCCTAAGAAGGCATCTAGATTAGAATTACAGTCCATAGGGTCAAGGAGAGGATGAAAAATAATTTTTCCCAAACACAATACCCCATTTCCCAAAAATGTCTGTATATCCTGTTTATATTACTATCATGTTTGCAAGACCTAAAGCCTTACATCATGTCATTTATTTTTGTTTATTGCAAATAAATTTGTTTTCAAATTATGTTCTACACTCCATGTTCTAATTCCCATTTGAAAGAAAATCCTAACAGCACCCTACTCTTAACCCAACATCCACAATACAAACTTATTCTGCATAGTATCATAGGCAGGTACAAAGCAGATTTCAAACAGCAAAGGCTATTTATTAATAGTATTTTAGAACAGACTTACTCTAGATCTTCCTGGAATTTTACTCCTGTTGCTTATGAGCTAAAAGAGCTTCAATAAAAAACAAGACCCTCAAAATTAAGACATTGCCTTTAACTTGTTGTAGCACCTCCTGCTGGATAGCACCAGAGAGCTTCCAGTAAACAGAAGGGTGTTTCTGAAGCAGCTTCTTCCAGATAATTGAACAGGAAAAAGGACTGGCCATTGAAAGTCAAAGGAAATAGTGTCCCATACATCACTTACATCCCTGTAAAATAAAGTATGACCCAAGCAGGAGTCTTTTCAATGTGTTATCCTACCAGTTCCATAAAGATTTGCCTGGATCCAAAGCTTGACCACCTTAAACCATGTGAAGCCATCCGAAATCTTAAGTTAAAAATGTCTTCAATAGCACTTAAGAAAAAAAATTTAAGAAAAAATTGTATAAAAGGCAAACAAGTAATATCAGTCAAAAATAAACATATTGTGTTACCAACATCAAAAGTCACAAGTAAAAGAAAGCCCCTGGAATACTTTTAACATGTTAGTCAGGTGTTTGTGCTTCAAGAATTTCTGCACTATCACTGGAGCCTTCCCTTAAGGATAGCTGTACATGCACTAAAGACTTGAGTACTGAAATTTTTAATAAACACGTGCATTGCAACACTCAAAATTTCCTCTTTGCCACCAAAACATATCCTGAAAAAAACTTTAATGTATTCTTAGACATTTAAAATGGCCCTCGGTAAGCCAGTGTTAAGCTCACAGCAGATTCCATACACAAATGAAGACAGAAGAAAATAGCAAAGAACTTACCGAAATTAAAATGAGTAACAGTATTCGCAGGAAAATTTCAGTAATGCTTTCCTACAAGGCTGTAAACCAAGTAGATGGTAAAACTTTGAAAAAGGGGGAGGGGGTTAACCTTCAAAAACCAATAGGAGCGCTGACCTATTTATCTCTACTGCCCAAAAGCGAGGAGACATGAAATGTAAACAAATAACAGAAAGACTTTCCCAAAAAGTAGCCTTACACTTCTTAGCCTTAATTTGAGCCCCCTGAACAGGCCCTCAATAAAGCTACAGATGATGCTGAAGATCTCCTACAGGGTGACCCCCCCCCCGAGTGCCCCCAAAGAACCACCATGAAGAGTGCCTGCCAAAAGGCTTCCTTCCTAGAGTGCATGACTGCTTTAAAAGAAAAAGGGAGGAAAAAAAACCTTCAACCAGCCCAAATGAATCTGATTCTAACATTCAGCTATCAATTATTAATAAATAAATGCCCTTCCCTCTCTAACTTCCTCAGCTCAAGACTCTACATTGCTGATACCTACCATTAAGCATAACTAGCATCCCAGCTATAGAGTAAAATCTTAGAAGTAAAAAAAAAAAAAAAAGCAGCCACAAAGTTCACTGTCAAGGCCAGTGCTGAGGCCCACACATGCCGAGACCTTAAAATCACATTTGAGATTCTAGAAATCCATACTCCCGAAGACATCATTTAAAAACAACACAATGTGGACGTGCAGAGGGAGATCCTCTACTTCAAGACCTAAACAAAGAATATTTCAACATATGACCGGAATATGATGACACCGGATTCACCCACGAAAACAAAACCTGCCTACCATTAGCCGTCGTACCCTCATCTCAACAACTCAACTACTTAGAAATCACTCCCAGCACATCTACACCCCACAATCGGCATGTGGCCTCCTCCCGGGGTGCAAGCCACAAGACAAAGTTGAAAGGAGACCTTTCTCGCCCGGTGCCCCAATGTCCACATCAAACCCCTCCCCTGCCAGGGCCACCTTGCAGCTACCCACCATTGCGAGCGTGGTCAAGGGAGGAGGAGGAGGAGAAGGAGGAGGTAGGGGAAAAAAGAGAGAGAAAGAAATCCTAACAGCACCGCTCAGCAGAATAAAGAGAGCAGAGAGAGGATGACGAGAAGTGTTGGGAACTGCGTGCACCGCGGGGCTGGACCAAACGGAAAGAGTCCCACTCCGCGCGCCCCTCCCCCCGCGGCCCGGGGGGGAGGGGCGGCCGCGGCCCCTCTCGGAGGGGCCTGTGAGTCCCCGGCCCGCGCGGGGTCCCGGGGCGGCGGGCCGGCGGCGACGGCGGGAGGGCCGCCCCGGGGTGAGGGGTGCAGGCGGACTCCTCGGAATAACAAGTTGCAGAAGAAGAAGAATAAGCGGAATTTCCCCAACGCTGCTCCGGCCACCCAAGACAAATGCACCAACACACACTCACTCACACACACTCGGGCCCGGCAGCGTCAGCAGCCGCAGCTTTTTTTTTTTTTTTAAACCAGATCTCTCAGTCACCAAACAAGATGGTTTTCCAAAAAAAATTTTTTAATTAAATAATCATAATAAAAACTTCCCCCCGACAGCATCCCGGGGAGTGGGGGGGTGGGGAGGGGGCCCAGGCGGCCATCCCCCGGCCGCAGGCACTCGCGGGGGGCGGCCCCGGCCCGCGCCCCCCCAGCCCGGCCCCCCGCCGGGACGCCGTGTCGCCCCCTCGCCGCCACCCCCGACGCGCCGCCCCTGTCACCCGCTCCGGCCCTGCACTCAGCGCCCAGGCTCCCGAGGCTGCTCATAAACTTACTTCCAATCTATCCTAGGGAGGGGTGGAGGGCAGAGGGGAGGAAGGGGGGAGACGAGGTATTCCCATTGTCTTTTTTTCCTGGGGGGGAGAGGAATAGGAAAAGGGCAGCAGGGGGGCGCCCCGAAGGGGAAGTTATTGCTGAAATCTCAAGTTGACTGAGGGGTCCTGGCGAGAACACCCCCTTTCCCTCCCACACACCCCTCCCCTCCCCCTACCTCCCCCCACAACAAACTCCAAGCAAGCAGCCCCTGCTCCTTCCCAGAGACAAACACCAGAGACAAGACAGAGGGAGGGGGGAGGGAGGGGAAATAGAGCTACTCAAGAAAAAAAAAGAGGAGAGTGAGGAAGAGAGAATGGAAAAGCTGGGATACTGCACCCTCCTGCTGCTGGCTGGCTGTCCCCCCTGGCAGCTGGAGGCAGGAACTCTGAGCAGGAGAAGCAGGAGGAGGAGGAGGAGGGAACTCTTCTTCATGGGGAGGGAGGGAAGAGGCTGGAGCTGCTGCTGCTGCTTCTGCTGCTGCTCTGGGCCTCTCGCACTTTTTAGATATTAGTGTGTTAAGATGGTAGGTTGTTCCCTTCTCCCTCCTCCTCCTCTTCTCTCTCTCCCTCTCTCTCTCTCTCTCTCTCTCTCTCTCTCTCGTTCTCTCTCTCTCTCTCGTTCTCTCTCTCTCTCTCTCTCTCTCTTCTCTCTCTCCTCTCTCTCTCTCTCTTTCCTCTCTCTCTCTTTCCTCTCTCTCTCTCTCTCTCTCTGGGCTGTTTCTTTCCTCCTCTTCCCCAGGCAAGGGGGGGTGGGGAGGAGGGGGTGGGGGGAGGAACTGGAGCCTCCTCCTCCTCCAGGAGAGACACACTCAGGCCCCGGGCCGGAATGGGGAGGGAGGAATCAGAGCAGCAGGAGAGAAACTGTGGGAGACAAACAAGCCCAACTCTTCATCCTCCTCCTCCTCCTCTCAGCAGCAGCAGCGAGCACCACCAGCCCATTCACCACCCGGCCCCGGGCCGCAGCACCTCCGCCGCCTCAGCCCGGGGATCCCTCCGCCCAGGCCCAGACACACTCGCCCGCGCGGGAGCCCGCCGCGCGGCCCCGCCGGCCCGCCGCCGCCGCCGTGCGCGCCCCCGCCGCTCCCGAGAGCCGGGCGAGAGGGACTGGGGCTGGGGAAGCGGGGACGAGGGAGAACGGGCGGGCGGGCGGGGACCGGGCGGAGCTGGACCGCGGCGGGCCCCGGCCGCCCCGCGCCCCTGCGCAGGAGCCCGTGGCTTGCGGGAGGCGCGGGGGACCCCACGGGGGCACGGGGCGGCGGCGGGGGCCCGCGGCGGCGCTCGGGCGGGCGGACTACTTGACGTGTCGGTGCGGCGAATTTATTTCACTTTGCCTAAGGAACGGGGTGTGCTGCGGCACCCATTGCCTAGGGAAAAAACCCGGATGTAAAGTGAGTGAAACTAAACTAGAGTGAAGTAGGGCAGCGGCAGCCAAACTCCGGTGCAGCGGCGGCGGCGCTGGGGCCGAGCGGCCGCCAAACTCCCGGCCCGCCGCCGCGCCGCAGCCCGGCCAGGCCCGAGCCCCGGTCCCCTCCCGCCGTCGGGAGCTGCTGGGGGGCACCCGAGCAGCCTCAACTCCCTCCAGTGCAACAGCAGTTTGCAGGGGTGGGGGTGGAAAGAAGGCAGGAGCGAGGAGGAAGCACTGCAATGGGGGAGCGAGTGGTCCAGGCAACAGGAGAAGATGCAAGCTCAAGTCGAATGCAACATGCAATCCCCGGCCACCCCGCCCCCCTTTGCAAATAACTACCCTTGAACCACTTTATTAGCCGTGCGGAGTCCCACACTAGCTCCGGGGAGGGGCGGGGGACGGGGTCCTTCGCTCACCTTTATTTATTGCTGCTTTCTGCCCCCCTCTCCATGTTTTTTATTCCTAAGTTCTTTTGTTCTAAGGGGGATGATGGCATTTACTTTTCTGCTTTGTGTAGCAGGGCAATCACTGGGAATCGGCCACGTATAATCCGGCGGTTTGTCATATTTTATTAGTGAAAGTATTTTATGCCTAGTCCACCTCCAAGGACTGTAACATGGAGAACTGCAGGGGGGTGGGCGACATCAGAAGAATTCTTGTTTTCAAAGATTTCTTGGCGGGGCGGGGGAGGGCCTCTTTTTTTTTTTTAATCTTTGAGTAGGTTCATTTAAATTATTAAATCGATAGTTTTCAACTTAATGCTTTTGCACGGGTGAATTGTTGGGTTGTAAAATAACCCCCAACCACGATTTTTAAAAAAAAAAGTAAAATACCCTAGCTCTTTTTAAAAAAATCCCATCTGGACACTGATCTCTGTTCTGAGCTGCATGCTGGACTTAACATAGTGTTAGTCTTCCTGTGTTAAATAACAATAAACCTCAACCTCAACGGAATACAAATGGGGGCTGGGGGTGGTTTTGTTTTTAAGGCTCAGCACTTTTGTAGCATCTGCCACTACGCATTTTCCAGGCATTGATTAACCATGCAACTCCCATAGGCATGAAGTCCAGCTTTTGCAGATGAAGAGCAGCCGTGGTGAGATGATTTGCCCAAAGTCAAAGTGAGTCATTGGCACAACCAGGAAGAGCCTTGGACTTGATTTGTTACTAATCGCATCTTTTCCATTAAATAATGTTTTATCCAAGAGATAGTATTTAAAAGTAAGCGCACATTCTTTATCTTACCAGAGGGGCTCTGAGATCACTGGATGTGAAGATATTTTCTTCTGTGAGCTGCAGAATTTAAATTCAGCTTCTCAAGAGAAAGCATTAAGAAAAAAAAACCCTCTGATTTATTAAAAGTTTTAAAAAAGTGAACTTTATTTTACATGTTGAAAAGAATTCACAGCAGAAACTGAAAAGAGTTTGAGAGTAAAAATGAAAGTCCCAATTAATGATTCAAGAAGCCTGGATGAATATGTGAAACTCAACCTACAATGCCATCAAGATAAATAACAGAGCCAAGTTGAGTACTAACTTCAGCACTCAGATAACCAGTGTCCTTAAGTGTAGGTATTTCAAGCTGTACCAGCGGGCCACTGGAACAGTAATCCCAAAATGCAAGGTGTCAACATTTTTTCTCACAGGAAGGCAGTCTTAGTTTTCTTTTTGGGGGAAAAACATTTTTTAAGAAACATAAGGGGAGGTCATGTTCAATTGGGCAAGAATGTATAAACCCTATACAGCAAATCAGCAAATTTTCTGTGAAAGCCAAGATTGTAAATATCTTAGGTTATTTTGATACCTAAGTCAACAAGAGCATCTCAAATCCTCTGTTCCTGTACCAAAATCCACCACAGACTACATGTAAATCAATGTGTCTTAGTGAGTGTTCTAGTAAAGTTTCATTTGTGCACATTGACATTTTACTTGCATGTGCTTTTCATATTATGAAATGTGTTTTACCTTTTTCCCACTTGAAAAAAAAATGCAAAAAAAAGTTTTTGTTTTGTTTTTTTTACTTTAGCTTTTTTGGGGGCATTACAGAGCCAAGCATTGGGAGGATGGGGTGTAGTATCTCTGTCCTTTGCTGGTCCCTGTTCACAAGGATTCAGACTGAGTAGTCATTGGACTTCCAACAGAGAGTGTTTGTTTGTACAGCAATTAAAAATCAGAATTGTAAAATAACAGATATATACATGTCAATTTCTCTTTTCTTTTTCTCTCTCTCTTTTTTTTTTTTTTTTTTTTTTACCTGATTTGATTTCTGGGCTTGGGATTTTGGTTTTGGTTTTTGGTTTTGGTTTTTGTTTTGTTTTGTTTTGTTTTGTTTTTTGAGACAAGGTCTTATGCTGTGACCCAGGCTGGTTTAAAACCCACTATATAGCCCAGGTTGGCCTCTGCCCACTTCAGCCTCCTGAGTGCTAGAATTACAGATATCAGCCACCACTCTTGGTTTCAAATATTTTAACTGTGTTAAATGAGGCTCTCAACATTTATGGAAAAGAAGATTCTATCTTGTGATTCTTTGACAGGGAATCATTCGTTTATTTAAAGCATAATAGGATTGTGCAAATCTGGATTCTGCTATCTAAGAATTTATCTCTTGCTGGGAGGTGATGGCACATGCCTTTAGTTCCAGCACTCAAGGAGGCAGAGGCAGGCAGTGATGGGAGATGTTATTCTGTATATGTTTCTTTTATTGGTTGATGAATGAAAAACACTGTGTGAGCCTGGCGGTGGTGGTGCATGCCTTTAATCCCAGCACTTGGGAGGCAGAGGCAGGCAGATCTCTGTGAGTTCGAGGCCGGGCTGGACAGACAGCCTCCAAAACAATACAGAGAAACCCTGTCTCATAAAATCAAAAAAAAAAAAAAAAGAAAGAAAAGAAAAAGAAAAACACTGTGTGGCTAGTGGCCAGGCAATAAGGATAGACAGGGCTACCAGACACAGAGAATTCTGGGAAATGTAGGCAGAGAGGAGTCATCGTGCAAGCCCAGGAAGAGAGGACGCTAGTCAGGTGTTCTCTGATAAAATAAGACCATGTAAAAATACATAGATTAGGGGCTAGAGAGATGGCTCAGACGTTAAGAGCACTGGCTGCTCTTCCAAAGGTCAACCACATGGTAGCCCACAACCATTTATAATGGAATCTGATGCCTTCTTCTGGGGTGTGTATATATAACAAATAAAGAAATCTTTAAACAAAAAACACAACTTAAAAAAATACATAGATTAGTAGTTATGGGTTAATAATTAAGGCAGAGCTAGCCAGCTGGGCATTGGTGGCACACACCTTTAATCCCAGCACTCAGGAGGCAGAGGCAGGTGGATCTCTGTGAGTTCGAGACCAGCCTGGTCTACAGAGCGAGTTCCAGGACAGCCTTCAAAACAATACAGAGAAACCCTGTCTGGAAAAAAAAAAGAGCTAGTCAATAAGAAGCCCAAGCCATTGGCCTTCAGTTTCGTAATATATCGTCCATGTGTTTATTTGAGTCTGATGTGACTGTGGAACCAGGCCGGCAGGAAGAACCATCCAGTACAACCATCTCTGATCTCTGTGAGTTCTAGTTCTAGTTCTAGAACACAGGACTACATAGTGAGACCCTCTCTCAAAGAAGAAAAGTAAGGAAGGGAAGAGAAGTGAAAGCAAGAGAAAAGAGAGTTAATTGAGATATTTCAGTAAAGTGCTTCACACAGTGCTTGGTATGAAACATCTTTCCTTGTGCCCAAGAAGCTAGTTTCTTGTAGCTGGCAAAGGTGAAGGAGTGGCATTGCCTCACTTTGACAGTGCGATTATGACTGAAAGGTTCAGAGTGTCTTAGTGTAGTACGGTACAGAGGGGCTGTCATGCTCTGAGCATCTTTGTACGCCTGGCATGGGGCACTTAGTAGGCACACACTAGCTGTGTGACCCTAGACAAAACACTTCAGCTCTCAGAACCTTGGTGTTCCTTACCTGATGCAGGTGGAAGGATTGCTGTAAGGGCTAACATCATACACGCCAAAGGGAAGCAACAAGTGTTCTCAGAAGTCTCGGGGATAAGTTGAAAACCCAGCCCATTATCAAAAACTCCATTGAGGTAAGTTGTTCAGCTTTCAGAAGTGAACAGAGGCCAGGCTGGAAGGCATCACTAAGCCGTAGATACTTTCGTTATGAGTGAGGTTCCAGCATGCGCACACACAAGAAAAGCATCAGTAAAGATGATCACACATGGGCAGTCACTACCTAATTATCCCCTGAAAATGTTTAGTTTCATCCAGGCTTGGTGGCTCAGGCTCATTACCCCAACCACTCTGTAAACTGAGGTAAAATATCACAAGTATTAGGCCAGCAGAGGAAATTAGTGAAACCTCATTCAAAAAAAAAACTGGAAATATAGCTTAGTAAGGCTGTTTGCCTAGAATGAGGTAGGTCAATGCTCAGTACAAAAGAGAAAAGGGCAAGTTTGCCATCATATCCCCACTGAACATAAACAAAAGAAAAAAGGACAACCTGCAGGAGTCATTTCTTCCTTCCACCGTGTGGTTTCCAGGGACTGAACTCAGGTCCACAGGCTTGGCAGCATGCACCTATCCACCCAGTCATCCTGCCAGTCCTCACATTTTGAATGTCGTTTAATAGCAGATATAGTCTTTTCTTTTCATAGAAATAGTCAATTATTTTCCCAATCTTTTCAATGTTCCGATCTCCAAATTAGAAAAATGCTAAAGTTTTCTTTTTAAAACTTTAGCAGCTGGGCTAGAGAGATGGCTCAGAGGTTAAGAGCACTGCATATTCTTCCACAGGTCCTGAGTTCAATTCCCAGCAACCACATGGTGGCTCACAACCATCTATAATGAGATCTGGTGCCTTCTCCTGGGGTATAGCATATACACAGATTAAAAAAAAACTATATACATAATAAATAAATAATGAAAAAGAGTTACCTTAAAAAACGTTAGCAGTTGCTTGTTTGTTGTTTGTTTGTGGAGACAGGGTCTCACATAGCTCAGGCTGGCCTTAAACTCCATGCTGTGTGGCCAAAGATGACCTCTGATCTTCCTGCCTCTACCTCCCAAGTGCTGAAATTACAGGCCTGTGTCATCATACCTGGTTTCTTGTATTTTTGTGGTTTCTGTTTTGTTTGGTTTGGTTTGGTTTGGTTTGGTTTTTACGAGACAGGGTTTCTCTGTATTGTTTTAGAGGTCATCAGTCCAGCCTGGCCTCGAACTCACAGAGATCCGCCTGCCTCTGCCTCCCGAGTGCTGGGATTAAAGGCGTGCGCCACCACTGCCCGGCGTGGTTTCTGTTTTTTATATTTACTTTGTTACAATTAATTTTTAAATGCCTTGTTTAAAATAATAGAATTCTACATAATTTTCATTTTGATGGAAAAACCATATAGGAGTATGTGTGTGTGTGTGTGTGTGTGTGTGTGTGTGTGTGTGTGTGTGTGATACCAGTTTCATAGGTCTGCTGAAAAAAGTGAAATACTTCAGTAGAATGTTGACTAGTTCTCTCTCTTTTTGTGTTATGTGTACACACACACACACACACACACACAGTGCTTGTGTAAGAAGGAGAGAAGGCCAGTACTGGACGAGAAAGCTGCCAATTAATCCTTGGCAAGGGTGGGGGTATATGTTTTTACTGTTTGAAATTCTGCCAAGTTCTAGAACATCAGAGACTATTACACAGGAAGAGATCCCTTTAAAATCAGAAAATCAAGGAGACACTTCTTAGGGTTATCAACATGGGTCAGCAAGTAAGGGCACTTACTGTCAAGCCTGAATTCTATTCTTGGAACTCACATGAAGGAAAGCAAGAACCCCAACTGTCCCCCACCCTTGTGTCATGGCACACATGCCATTAAGTGTATGAACATATACACAAATAATCACTTTTAAGAAGGAAGGGACAGTCATGTGTCCCAGACAGGCCTGGAACTCCCTGACCCTCCTATCTCCACCCTCAAGTGTTGACACCTGCCTAAAAATTTTTGCCTTTACTACAGCTTTGTGTACCAATGGGGAACCAGAACAGTGACTGAAAAAGCAACAGGTGTAAGCTTGAGGCAAACAAATATCAGAGGCTAAGCAGCCCACTCCCTGAAGAATACCTTCAGTTCCATTGCTTTCCATAATCTGTAAGGTCAACCTGAGATGTATGTGTGTGTTTATTAGGATGAACTACACCAGAACTTCTCAGTCTGGGGCGCAACTTTCTTTCTGGACTGGTTGTCTCTGTATGTGTAAGGGACACTGCAGCATATTCAGAAGCCTCTTCGGTCACTGCCCACTACCTGCTGATAGCAGCATCCACACAGGGGCAACAAGCAAACATGTCTAAACATTACCAAATGAGGTAAGTAGGTAGGCGTGTCTGCGTTTGAGAGAGAGACAGACAGAGACAGAGAGACAGAGAGACAGAGAGAGATGGGGGTGGAGAGAGAGGGGCTGGGGAGGAGGAATATCAAATTAACTGAATTATCAAATTAACTGAATTTGGGGTGGGGCACCAAGGATAGAGGAAACCAATAAACTAGATCCAAAACCCTGGATACACTCACTCCAGAATCTGTGCATGTTTAAATACATCTTTAAAAACACTGTAATTCCTTTTCCAAAAGCAACTTGTTTACATCAGGGAGTCTGCCTGTGTGCTGGGCTGTGGTGACACACACCTTTAATCCTAGCACTCAGAAGGTAGAGGCAGGTGAGGGTGAGTTCAAGATTAGCCTGGTCTACAAAGTAAGTCTCAGGACAGGTTTCGAAGCTACACAGAGAAACCTTGTCTCAAAAGACAACAACGAAAAAAATCCCAACAACAAAAACCAACCAAAATGGGGTGCTGGGGAAATAGCTCAGCTGGTAAAGAACTTGCTGTGAAAGCATGAGGACCTCAGTTTGATCCCCAAACCTGTGTTTAAAAAACCAGGGTTAGGGCTGGAGAGTAGGTTCAGTGGTTAAGAGCATTGGCTACTCTTCCAGAGGACCTGGGTTCAATTACCAGCAACCACATGGCAGCTCACACCTGTCTATAGCTCTAATTTCAGGGAACCCAACACTTTCACACAGACATACATGCAGGCAAAACACAAATGTATTTGAAATAAAAGTAAATAAATTATTTAAAAAAGACAGGGTTAGTGGCACATGCCTCCACTCCTTTGTTGGAGAAATAGAGATTGGCAGATTGGTGGGGCATACCGCCCAGCCAACCCATCTGAACTGCTGAGTTCTAAGCTAATGAGAGACTCTGTCTTAAAAAACAAAACAAAACAAAGCAAAACAAAAAACAAGGTGGACAATACCCAGGAACAACTCTCTCTCTCTCACACACACCTATAAAAATATCTTCCTTAAAGCTGCTGGAACCTCTAAAGTACCACAGGGCATTCTTCCAAGCCTGAAGATGTTAAAAGAATTTTATCAACTTGTTATTTCCACCTTTAGTTTATCTGTTATCAACGTAAGTTATATTGTGGGCTGGTACAAAGGCACTATCTAGTATAAAGTGTTCCCAAGTTTGGCATGGAGGAACCAGAGCTGGAGCCTGGGTTCTGAAGTAATCACTGTTTCTCAATGCACCTATTCCCTTGTCCAACACAGGACAATGACAGTTCATCGGCCAGCTCGCGGAACTCCAAGATGTTGCTGGGAAGCAGCAAGGCTTACTCTTGAGGAATTAAGAACTCTGGAATGTATAGTCTGTGTCGACCTTGGGTGAATAATGCCCTAGTGTAAGCTACAGTTTATGTGCAAAATGCAGAAGTACTGGTACAACTTTACAAGGCTGTAATGAAACTTAAAGCTGACCATGTGTGGGACAAGCTTAGTCAATGTTATACAGGTCCTTTGGTAAGTCGAATCACATTGTCCAAATGCCTACCATTCCCTTTGTTGCTATTTCTTTTCTGCCAGAACTGACACCTGGAATTCTGAAACACTAATTAATGAAGACCTTTTTAAAAGTTGTGGAATGCCCAATCCCAGTCAGAAGAAGCAGCGTTATAAACGTGTCTACAACTTCTGTCGTCATAGTTAATCAGTAAGGACACAAGCATGTGAATTAATCTGCGGTTCTCCCTTCATTGAAATAATGTTTTGTGAGTTTTGGTTACCTCTGTACCATGCACATAAAGCTATGATGGTGTTTGTTCCTTGAACATTTATATTAACTTCAAAATTCATCTTACCACACAAATTGGCAAATTTCATTGCAGTTCTCAAATAGGGTGCAAGGTGGGGTTTCTAAGTTAAAATATAAATAAAGGGATCTGAAAGTCTCTTTTCTGGGAACTTTTAAAAAGATTCATTTATTTTTATTTCGTGTGTGAGTGTTTTGCTGGAATGTGTGTATGTGTACTTAATGCATGCGATACCCATGGAGGCCAGAAGAGGGCGTCAGATCCCCCAGGATCATCTGTTATGCTGATCGAGCATCACCCTGTGAGTACTGGGAACTGACCCTAGGTCCTCCGGGAGAGCAGTAAGTGTTCTTAACCACTGAGTCATGTGTCACACCCTCTTCTCTGGAAACGTTCAGGCTGAGGTAGTCAAAAAGAGAAGGGCACACATCACACACTGCTCGGTTTGGGTAAATTTTCACAAAGCAAACATACTTCAGTTGTCCTTGGTGCTTCCAGTAGTCAGAGGATTCTACAATAAACACATATTTCATCATTTGGGGGAATTAAAAAAAAAAAGACTGTAGTGTTTGAAAAACAAAAAGAAAAGGTAAGTAAGGATTTCCCAGACAAGATAGCAAGCAAGCAGCTGCCTTAGAGCCACAGATGTGACTTTGAATTATCCAGTGGAGATAAGCAAAATGATCAGCTGGACTCAGATCACCAAAGTCACATCTCCATCCACCCGCCACTTGATATATGATCGAGACAACTTCCTTCCACGGCTTCTGCCGTAATTTGTTAACCGGGTGATAATAATAGGATTGTTCTTAGGATTAAATGAAGTAACTCTCATATGGGCTTGGATGAGCCCGGCACGTAAGCTCTCGATAAAAGTAAATCATTATCCTTTTAGGATGGTGCCCCTGGGGACACTAGGAAGAGAGTTATGAAGATCTCAAGAATTCTTTTAGGAAAAAAAAGCATGGGGGTGGATTTTGTCCAGCAGAAGAGCTGGATCAGAATGGCCCAGGGTGTTATCACAGAGCCTCAGGACTCGCAGCAGCAAGAAGGGTAGGTCTGTGGTCAAGCCAGAGAACAAGAGAACGCCTCCTATCTGGAGGTGGCAGCCAGGGTGATCAACCATGTAGCTGTGAAGATAATGCAGTTCTGAACAGAAAGCCACAGGGTGTGCCTGGCATCCAAACAAGACATGACCTGATTTGCTCAGAGACCAGAGGAAGGTCTCGGAGTGATTTGATACGGACATAGAGCAGCAAGAGAGGCAGAAACCACAGAATCATAGCTCTTGGAGTCAGGGTCTTCAAATGCCTGTGCCCAGGAACATAGACTCTCCTCCAGGACTTTATCCAAGGCCAAGCATCCACAGCACCTCGCAGCTTATGAGGGACCTTGGACCTTTAGACTCAGCATTCTCTCACAGTGAAATAAGGTGCAATTTTGCACTTGGACCAACTGGAATACTATGTGAGAGAAGAAACACAAGAAAAGAAGGGGCTGGGGTGCTCTGGGCGCTGAGCACCATCCTAGCATGGGTAAGGCTTGGCACAATGAGAAGGTGGGGATCCTTGGCAGAGGAGTCTCCCCCAAATGATAGAAATGAGGAGTGCCCCCAAATCCAGCCAGGATTCTGATTGATCCCAACTGGATCTCGAGATCCTTTTTTTCCTCTCTCTTCTTCACTATGTCATAGCTTCTCCTCGTTCTGGGGAATCTTTGAAAGGGGTCAGTTTGGATTCTTTCTCCTTGATTGGTTGCAGGCAATGCATCCAAGTATGAATTCAGCAGGATTACTATAGTAAGTGTGGCCTACTTGTGATGGTTAATCTTGGTCATCATCTTGGCACATCTAAGAGAACCTCAACTGAGGATTTGCTTCCCTCAGATTGGCCTGTAGGCATTTGCTTGATTGTCAATTGATGTAGGAAGGCCTAGTCCATCACTAAGCAGGTGGGCCTGGGCTATATAAGAAAGACAGCTGGCCAGGGGGAAGCAAACCAATAAACAGTTGTCCTCCATCGAACTGGTTCTCAACGTAGGGGTCACGACCCCTTTGGGAGTCAAATGACCCTTTCACAGGAGCCAAATATCAGATACCCTGCATATCAGATATTTACATTACAAGACATAACAGTGGCAAAACTACACTTATGAAGTAGCAATGAAAATAATTTATGGTTGGGGGTCACTACAGCATAAGGAACTTTATATATTAAAGGGTCAGACCACTGCTCCATGGTCTCTAGTTCAGTTTCTGCTTTAAGCTCCTGCGATGAGTTCCTGCCTTGACCTCTCTTGATGATGGACTATAACCTGTAAGCTAAAATAACCCCTTTTAGTCCTATGTTTATCACAGAAATAGAGATGCAAACTAGAAAACTAGTGTCCCCAGTAGGTAGGTGTCGTAGAGCATCTCTAATGCTGTGCAATGAGTATGAGGGAAAACAAGAAACAAAAAGAAGAAACAAGCCAGGAATGGCTTTTGTGTGCCCTGTGGGCTTCCAGAGCATGAACTTGGCCTCAGAATCCTTCTCAGCACAACCTGTGCATGAAGTAATTTTGTTTTGTTTGTTTGGACAGTCTCACTATATAGTCTTGGCTGGCCTAGAACTCGCTATGTAGAACAGGTTGGCCTCAAGGTATGCGTCATTCACCTGGCCCCATCAGGCAGTCTTTCCCTGTTTGAAACGGCCTTTCTGTAATCTCTTCTCCAGCTCTGATCAGAAATCATGCCCAGCTTCAGCTCTGCGCACTTAAGCCCTCGCTGGGTAACAACTGCCTCTCTGTTTAGGAACCTGCTCTCATATTTCTGAGTTCATAACTGATTTATGACCTATAAATAGTTACACCAGCCTCATTGCTGAATAATTTACATACTAAGGTCATGCTCTTTGGATGAACCTGACACTCATTAGTGCTAAATTAATCAGCCATGGGCATCCAAGTCAGAACCCACAGAAGACCCATACCCCAAAGTGGTGGGAATAGAAAAGCAAAATACCTAGATTTTATTCCCTCAATTTATATCTATTCGATCTACTTCCTATATTGCCTTGTACTCTTCACCTTTAAAGTGGCACGCCCGGAAGTTGATGTTATGAGAACCAGTAAGGTGAAAAATGTTAGTTCAGGTGTGGTGGTGCAAGCTGGAAATCTCAGAACTTGGGAGGTAGAGGAAGTGAGTCAGGAGACTGAAGTCATCCTCAGCTACATAGTAAGTTCCAGGTCAGATGGGGCTACATGAGAACAAAACCAAAACCAACCACAACTAAGAATGACCCAACGGGTGAATGTCTTTAAGGTTCCCAGATTTTAAAAATCTTGGAGTCTAAATCTCATTTTCACAACAAAGCCCTCTTCGATGAAAACCCATTTATATTCATCATATAAAGAAGCCCAAAACCTTCAGCTCTAGGATACTGAGGAAGATGTATAGTCTCTATGATCCCCATCCATAAAATGGGCACATCATGCTTAATCCTCCTATTTGCTTGTAAATAGCTGATGAGACAAAATTGGCTAACAAGGCCTGGGAAAGGCATTTGACAAGTAAAGCACTTGCCACAAGTGCTGATAACCTGAGTTCAGTCCTGGGAGATCTTGGTAGAAGGAGAGGACTGATTGTCAAAAGTTTTTTGACGTCCACACCAGCACTGTTAACACCCTCACATCATACACACATATGCAATAATAATAAAATAAATTTTAAACTGTAAGAGAATTTGCAAGTGCATGAACTTGGAAGTAGCATTGTAATCAAACAAGAGAATTAATTAAACTTGAATTCAAGACAACACTACCAATATCATTTCAGCTCCTGGGTTAGTGGACAAAACAAGACAGACAGAAAGTAGCACAAGGGTTTGGGCCCAAACGTTTCGGTGGCAGACACAGAGAACTGAGGACAAGAGACAGTGGTATGTTCACATTTACTGATAGTAAAAGCAGAAAGACAAGAAGTATTTCCCAATAGCCACCAGGGGACATTCTACTCCCTGAACGTACAGGCTTGCACCCACCTTGCTTATTACAGTGTGATGTGGGAGCCACGGACACTTCATTTTAAAACTAGCTCCTCAATTAGCATGAGCACAAACTTATTATCTTTCCAAGAACGCTGTGTTGTTCAAGGTTTATCTAATGGAAGAGAAACTCATTCCCATTCCAATCTGGGTGAACATTGCACTCCATCTGATAAACACCAGAGGATTGATGGGAGCCAACCTGTTCCTCGATGAAAGTCTTTGACCTGGGCCTTGTGACTAACTATGCCTAGAGACAGTTCATTTTTATCCTCCAAAATCCTCTCCTCAGCAACTTAGGCAAAACCCCAAAGATCATAGAGCAAAACCAACGGAGACCATGGCAACACTAACGTGCGTTCTTTCTCATGTGCTATCAAAATCCAAGTCAATTTACAGACACTTGTGTTTTCAAGAAAAAGGTTTTGGCAAGAGTAAAGATGAAAAACCAGAAAAATAAAGCAACTTGGGACAGTAGCCTTGTTTCTTATTATTTATTGTCTTCCCTTGGGCTTTTTGTTTGTTTTCAGTTTTTTTCTTGTTTTCATTTGAGACAAGGTCTCTAACTTTGGCTGGCCTGGAGCTCACTATGTAAATCAACCTGGCCTTGAACTCTTACAGATTAGCCTGCCTCAGCCTCCCAGCACAGGGATTAAAGTTGTGCACCATAGAGCCCAGCTAGGTTTTTGTTGGTGGTGCTGTTTTTGATTTTTTGGTTACTTGTTTGTTTGTTTGTTTGTTTTGCAACTAGGTTTCCTGTAGCCCATTCTGGCCCTAATGTTGACTGAAGCTGAGGAGAATGACCCAGAACTCCTGCTCTTCTTGCTACCATTTACCAAATACTAGAGTTACAGGAGTGTACCACCATGTCTGGTGACCTATTTTCATATAGATAACATATATATATACATACATATGTATATATATAACATATATGAATATATATGTTTGTTGTTTGTTTGGTTGGTTGATTTTTCAAGACAGGGTTTTTCTGTGTAGCCTGGGCTGTATTGGCACTTGCTCTGTAGATTAGATTGGCCTCAAACTCACAGAGATCCAACTGTCTCTGCCTTTTGAGTGCTGGGATTAAAGGCATGCACCACCACTACCCAGCTA